CCTCCCTCACCTGCCGCCTCTGGAGTAACGTTACACGTTATTACCTCAGGGGAAATTTTTCGCGTTTCATGCATAACGTCGGCCAAACCGAGCCGAGTTTTAGTGCTTGCCTGTTGAGGCCGAGATTACGTTCACGCTTATAGCACGTGTTTGGAGGGTACGTCTACGTCGGCCGAGTTGGATGGTCACACTCATTAATCGATGTTTGCCAAAATTCTGGTGTTTTGTGGTTGCTTACTGTGGAAAACAAGGAGCTGCTGGATTTGAGTAAAATAAGTGGAGGGTTGTCGCAAGAAAATGCCTTCATCCGGGCCTAACAAAGACAGCCAAATTGGCCAGCAAATTCACCAAATTGGACATCAAAGATTACTTAAACGAAGCACTTGGGCACAATTTTGATTTGAAACTGGCAGCATCAGTTTACGTGGTGGAAACATTATTGTAAAGTGCTCATTGTTCGCATCTGGCAAGAGAATGACGCTTCCTTGGTGTGTTCCTGCGATGAATCGATTCTGCATCTTTTTTTTTCCTGTCGCTTTATCGTGAACGGAACCCTTTCTCGAAAATTGTTCAGAAACGGAGACCTTTCTCGAAAATTGTTCTGGACCGGAAGGGAGGTGGTGGGGCAAAGGATGGGAACGGAAGAACAATCAGCGGTTTTTTTTTGTTTTTTTTGAATTGTTTTGAATCGTTGATAGGCTTAACTGCTGAAAACGGTATAAAATGAATGTTTTTCAGAACAGCTGCGGTTGGTTCGGATAAAATGGGTAACCAGTACCATAAGCCAGCAGCGGCAGCAGCAGCAGCTGTTCATGATGATGAGATTGAGCCATACACACGTCAGAAGGGTGCATCGCCGTACACACGTTCGGGCCTGCCGCCGCCTGCCACCACACAACCGGTTGGTTCTGCATTTTTTCTTGTTCAGTGCGAAGAGATCTCAGGTCAGCTGTATTCTCTGATGTGCTTTTAGCCTTTAGGCAGTAGATTCATGTAAGTGTTGTAGAAATTTCGAAGATATAAACAATGAATATCCTTGGATTTTGATAATTAATGAAAACACTTGAAGTGCCATTTAGATCTCCCATATAAGCAAGTCTGTCAAGTAATTTGCGGCTCGGCCCCCTACCACCTGCTTTTTTTGAAAAATAAAGATCCTGTAAAAGCCGACAGCAACCACGAGCCCCTGAAACTCGATGAATTGCTTAGGAGAAGGCTGTCAACTTTGCTAAATCCAATTTACCAGTGAAACGAAACGCAGAAGGATTGGCTTTTTTGCTGGCGGATATAAACCTGAGATTAGTGTCACACACCAGTACACAAAGCTTGTCGACCTTTTTTAGATTTTTACACCTTAATGTAGTTATTAGCAGAATTTAGCACAAAGTTATTGGAATTTCAATTTTTCAGACCGACAAAGTGCCACATCTAAAGCATGAGCCGATGAGCCTGGAGATACACATGGCTGATGAGCGTGCACGAGCTGCTGGTCTGACTCCCTCCGAAAGGGAATGGCGGAAGTAATTTTTTCTTTTAATCAATTCAAAATTATTAAAAATTTGATATGTTTTCTCCCTTTGTATTGATTATTTGTTTTTCTTTTTATATTTAACCTTTTTATGCGTTTTGTGCTGTGTAACAGCAGTAAAAAACGCATATTGTTACGGGGTTGTCTGTGT